ACTGCACATAGCAACTTGTGACATAGACAGAACCTTCTTTACAGATGGGTAAACTGAGGTCCACGGACAGTAATTTGCCCAGAGTCACTGAACTATTCATGCCAGAATCCAGAGGTCCTGACAGCAAACAGGTGTTAAGTCATAGAATGTAGGCTCCTTTGGATCAATTTACTTTGTACAAGTCTTGAATAATACTCTATGAGGCAGAGACTTTGCTGTATAAGAGACTCTCTGGTGCAATGCCTTCCTTAATAGCAAGGACTCTCGGTATTTATTCCTCTGTCCCCAGCCAGGGCCTGGTTCCAAGAATGTTTTGCTGTTGTTTTTAGTCTCAGTCTGCCAGAAGCTGAAGGGAGCAGATGGCCACAGCATTGTGGATCATGAGGCTGTGTTCCCAGGCGGGAGTAAAGGATGAGTTGAAAGCCCTAGACTCATCTGTTGCTACCTAGTCCCCTGCCCAGGTATTTTTTATCCCAGAGCAAAGTGAAGCTGGCTCACCCTATTCCCCACAACTCCTATTGGTCTCCTAGATAGATTTTTTTTCCCCCTTCTGGATAGATTTCATACTAAGGATTCTAGGACCTGCTGTCCAAGGCATGTTCCAAGATGAAGTTCAGGAGTCTCACTCCACAGCCAGTCTGGCCTGTCATCTATCTGCAGGCCTTCTACCTGGCTCCTGTCCACTCTTCTGCATTTCCTCGACTCCCAAAGCAGATTAGTTGTTGAACGTGACTGACAACAGCCTAAAGAGTAATCATTACTGATTACTGATACTGAAAATCATTACTGATACTGAAAAACCCACATGTTTCCTGTTTACCCAAAATCCTAACTGGAAAATTTTAAGAAGCACTGTTTGAGGATGGTGACTGGGATAAAGACAGTTGACTTCCATGATGGGAAGCCTACAAGAACCTGAAGTACCTTATAAACTATGAAAGGGACTATCAACATTTATTCACAAAGTTTCAAATGCCCTGTGTATTCACATCTTTATACCTTACAGAGCTCTTTCATACCTGTTATTGCCTTTGAATGTTAGAGCAACTCTGTGTGGGAAGCAGTGTGAGAATTACTGTTCCCACTTGACATTTGAGACCAGGAAAAGTTAATCAAGGTGGCAGAGCCCCAGGCAGAACTAAGATTTGAGAGATAAGTAGTCCTGAGTTTGGAATCTGGTGCTTACCATTTTTTAGCTATATAACCATTGGCAAGTTATTTAGCCTCTCCAAGCCTCAGTTTTCTTCTCTATAATAGGAAGATAATATTCTTATGGTTGTGTGAGGACTGATATAATGTAGGAAAAATGCTGGCACAGTATAGAACAAGTATTAAGAGCTTAGTAACTGTAGGTTTTCCCCTCAGTGTTTTAAATGTCTTACATTCTGAGTTGGAGAAGACTACTCTCACTACAATAAAATGGACTACATGTAATAAATTCCTGTTGGCCGGAGTATTGTTTAAGGACCTCACTGGGTTAAGAGAACTGGGTTAGTGGGAAGCAGGGGTGCTCCAGGCACTAGCTCAGTGCTTCTGATCCAAATCACAGTGGGTTTGAGCTGATTAGGGACCCTAGAGATCTGTTCCAGTGTGTCTTCGTCAGAAGAGTTGTTAATAATCTGGGAAAAGTCAGATTGAATAATGCCAGGTACATTTCTTTGTTACTGACTTCTTAAATCCTTTAGTGTTCATGTGATTTGGGGAGGGGGTGGGAGGTTAGAGTATACTAAGTTTCCTGTCTTTATTTGACCTCAGAGCCTCTTTTCTGAGGAACTCTTAGGAACATCTTGAGGAGCACTCATCTTCTGCAAAGAGTTCATGCAGCACTGATGTGGTCCAGTTTCTCCATTTTCTAGGTGAGGCAACTAAGGTGTATAGCCAAATTAATAGAGGCAGTGCACAGAAGAACCAAGTCTGGAGTTCAGTGTGCCTCACTCCCTCTTGGGCCACAGCACCATTTGCATGCCACCATTCTTCCATTTCTAGCCAGCAAATCATAAAATTACAGAGCCATTCTGCAAACCACTAATCAGAGAACATTGTTGAGAGAGTCAAGCTTTCTGTTTTGATGTGTTTATCCCAGAAAACAGGAAAATGAGGGAAAAGAGGCTTAATGGACACCAAATGTTTCCAAACAATTGAAGGACCAGGGGTTGGGTAATTAGCTCAGTGTCTGGAAAGGTGCCACTAACCCATACAATTCTAAGTCCTCTATCACCATCTTCCATCATTAAATTCAATGGGTAGGAATGTGCAACTGGATTTCTATTTAGACCCTGACAGAGGGGGTTGTCCTTGGCATTTGGTGAGAGCTAGCCTTGAATTTTACTAAGCCTTCTAGTTCAGATCTAGTAAAAATATTACCTTTGCATTTACAAAGTTTTAAGTAGACTTTGTTTTTGAAGAACACAGAAATATTTCTATTTTCTCATTTAATGATACAAAACAAGTGCTGACAAGGTATTCATATATAACTTTTCCTCACATTTACAACTGAACAGATTGGAACTGCTTTACTTGCTATATGACCATACTGTATTAGTATTTTAAAAGTTTATTCCAGCCTATCTCTTTTTTTATAATCTAAAATACCTTTATTATGTTGTTTTGATGAGATAGATCCACAAGAAGACTTGGGCCCAGGGTCAATCAATCCAACTTTCAGCCAATTTTTTCCGTAGTAGCTTCCAAACAAAACACATCTGATTCTCAGAACCATCCTGTGACATAGAGTTTATCTTCTGTGTGTCGTATGAGGACACTAAGCCTCAGAGAAGGTGTGGTGACATGGCCAGTGTCTGACAGCAAATTAGCAGTGTGTTCATTGCTGTATTACAGGTGCCTGACATAGTAAATTCTCAAGAAATGTTTATCAATTAAATAGTTAGTACATTCTCAGGAATGAACTTCAGGTCTTCTAACTCTTTATCAGTGTTCTTTCCATTAAGCTAGCATGGTGGGGCCCAGTGGTTGGGCCTGTCTCAGGGTCACCAGATAACTCAGAGAGGGAGTGCTGGGTCTGCCTTGCTTTTTAATTACTGACAAGGCCAATGGTTTCTAGTCTTTGCTGTTCTCTGCTTGGTAAAGATCTCGTACATCTTCCCCACCACAGAAAGCCCAGATTCAGCAGTTTCTGGGCTCTAAATTCAACCTCTTTGAGCCTCTCTGCTCCCTATAGTCTACTGAACAAAGACACCAGTGTTCCCCAGCTTCTCACTCTGCCTCTCATTTGGTTTCCCCTCTCATCACTGTCTTGCCTGTCCTTCAGTCCAGGGCACAAGCTAATGGGTAAGGAACTTGGGCTCATCTCATAAACACTAGTTACAGAGTTCACTGTAAAGGAGTCGCCATGTCAGGAACACCAAGAAACTACCGAAACAATTCCACCTAGGATTCTTTTCTATGTTAGCTGAAATTCACAGCATCTACTGGTTGCCAGGGCAATGTTGGTGGCTGGGATTGCAAAAATTAATAAAAGAATCTCTGCCTTCAAGTTGTTAAGAGTCTGATGGGGAGAGACAGGTGTATGAATATGAACATTCAACAAATAAATGCTGTGACAGAGGTCTATGGAGGACATCAGGGTTCGTAGGGGAGGGAGTGACGGATTCAGGCTTTCCTGAAGAGTTTTTACTAGGGCATCACACCATTTGTACTTAGAAAACTTGCATCCAGCCTCCATCACTAAGTCAGAAATTGGTTCTGGCTCTGTTTTACTGATGCAAGCAACCTCTGTCCTAACCTCACTCACTGGTAAGAGTGTGATATTTGGAGCCACCTATTGAATGGGGCCAATACGTTTAGGAAATTCCTGGATGCTGAGCTTACCCCGGTACATTATCTCATTGAATTCTCACAACAATCTTGTGGGAAAGGTACTGTAATATTCCCATTTTATAAATGAGAAAAACTGAGGCACATGGAGGTTAAATTATTTAGCTAGCATCATACATCTGGTACATGGTAGAGCTGGAATTTGAACTTGAACAGTCTGATTCTAGAGTCAGTATCCTAAAAGGGCTTCAGAGAGGGCCACCATGACCATGATACAGTTCTTAGCTCAAAGAGTTGTAAGAATGAAAAATAATAGCCTTAGTTATATACTTACCATATAATTGATTAATGAATCATAATGTTCATTTATATATTATAAAACAGTCTTTTCTAAAGGCTGGGGTATATTGGGCCCTTGCAAAGATGCCTCCTTTCTTTCCTAAGTCTCTCCTGTATTGTTATCTGTACAGCCTGCCTCTTTGTTTCTTAAAAAGAATGGATGGGCCCTGGCTAGTGTGGCTCAGTGGACTGAGCACCAGCCTGCAAACTAAAGGGTCACTGGTTCGATTCCCAGTCAGCGCACAAGTCTAGGTTGCAAGCCAGGTCCCCAGTGCAGGGCATGCGAGAGGCAACTGCACATTGAGGTTTTTATTCCTCTCTCTCTCCCTTTCCCTCCCCCTAAAAATAAATAAAACAAAATCTTTTAAAAAAAAGGATTAGGGGACAGGGGTACATGGTGTTTAGCCGATACCCCCTGAGCTCCTGTCCTGGTTCAGGACCTATTTTGAAAGGCAGGGTTTAATGCCAAGATGAAATAAATTGCGGTCCTTGCCCTGAAGGAATGCAGTCAGTCAGTCTAGGAGGGGAGATGATACAGAAGAAGGAAGGTAAGAATGACTTGCTTTTATATTAATTGTTGAAATAATCATCTTATTAATATCCTTGTCAGCATTAAAGCAGCTATTACTAATGTAGAAAGTAGTAATACCTTAGAGAAGGTCAGCAGCTACTCACAGGAGATTTTTTTTTTAACATCACAGTGTTATTTTTATGGGAGGGAGGTGGTGGTGTTCCTAAATTGCTGGTAGGGCTAGTGAGACCTTGGCTTGAGGAACATATTATGGGGAAGGATTTATATCCCTCAGGCCTCCCCCATGGCCACCCAGTATGTTCCTTAGTTACCACTTCATAGCTTCTTGTACTCAGGCACTTTTTTCTTTTGGCAGAATGAGCAAGAAGGGGGGAGGTAGCTTTCTGAACTAGGACAGTCTGCCAAGAGAAGCAGTGACTGAGCATCTGCTGAGATTGGCACGGAGTACCTCCAATTAATCGATCTGTGAGTACCACTGGAGCTTCTGCCATGTGCCTAGCAATGTGTTAGGTGATGTGAACAATCCCCCAAAGTTCTAGGCTGCTTGGTGAGAAAAGCCTACCACATAAAGGGAGCCAACACAGCCAGGATACTCTGGGTGTTGACTTGTGTGGTTCAGACTTTCAAGTGCTGTAGGAACTTATGAGTACCCCCTCACTGAGCACTGTCCTGGAAGTGACTTAGGAGTGGATCATAACTCCTATGAACTTTAGGCTCTTCGGTGACCCACCAGGCCCTTTTCGGTCTGGCCTTTGCCAGGCTCTCTGTTCTCATCTTCTGTGTCATCCAGGTTACATCCAAGCCCAACTACTGTCCAGCTATCACAACTTTGCTCATGTTATTTCCCCTTTTCTAAATGTTATCTGTGTGTGGGCTCACTTCATCCCACTGGACAAGGTCAGAACTTGACGACTCCTCTCCTGTCCCTTCGGTAGGTGACGTGCCTCTAGGTTCCCAAGTGTTCCTGTCACAGCCCCATCCAGAAGAAACACAGGTTTTGGTTTCCCTGAGATCTCTACCACTGGACTACCTACTCCTCCGGGACAGGATTGTACCTCGTTCATTTTTATACTTTGTATGGTCACTTTGGCCATAACAGGTACTCAATAAATTATTTGTGGATAAATAAATAAGTAAATTTTCCAGCATATTATTCGAAGTAACTTCTTTGTGGCATTCAAAACTGTAGACTCAAATTAGTAAACACGGGATACCATATATATGAAAACACAACCAGGATTTGCTTTCTCCCTGCTAATTAACATTCCCACCCCCACACTATATGATAATACATGGTTCTGGTGAGGTTGCTACGAAACTGGAATTCATTGGTGATAGCAATGTAAATTGGTACAGCACTTTTGAAAAGCAATTACACAGTCTATATCTTAAGAACTATAAAAATATTTATACATTTTGACACAGTAATTTCATTTCCGGGAATCTGTCCTAAGGAAATAATTTAATGTTTAGAGTAAACTTTCCCTCAGATGCTATTATTCGTGTTAGTGAGAAATTGGGAAAAGCTTAAATGACCACCTAAACTTATGACCAGTGTCTAAGCAGATCCCTGAAAGGAAGGCTCACCCGAGCCACACAGCGTGTCCCATCCCCGTGCGTGCACATACACACTAGTCCAAGAAAAGTTGGGGTCAGATCCATACTTTGGAGTCTGATACTCAGCTGTTCCAGGAACAACTGAGTTCACATTGATTCATTCACTGTGTAACCTTGGGCAACTGACTTTGCCTCTCTGCACTAGGGTTTACTCATCTGTAAAGTATTTGACTTACAATTCCTCAGAGGATTGTTGTGTATGGATATGGTTGTCTTAACTCAAGAAGGGGTTTGTAAGACACATTAAAGAAAATCATGGCAGGAAGCTGCTGATGGGTCTTAAACAGGAGGTGAAAGGGACAGACTTACTTGGTCACTCAAGAGGCAGATGCTTAGTAATGATTGTGGAGTTAATGTTACCAGAGGGACAAAGGCAGAGTGGTTGTGACTCATGTTATTCTTGGTCCCCTTTGGGCCAAACATACGGTATGTGGGGTGAGTCTTGGAGCTGAGCCCTAAGTTATGTTTAGGTTTGAATCCTGGAGAGAGATCAGCTTCTTCCCTTCACTTGTCTGAATGTGGGAAATTAAATATATATGCCAATGCATATGCTTTGTGCAGGATTCAGCCTTTGTGGGGCTGTGAGGGGTGGCATTTGGATGTTTTCAAGGAGGATTGTTGTAATGAGGAAAACACTGATTTCACACAAAAGGACTGTAATCAATTGTGCCCCTTACACCTGAGGGGCACAGTGCTTGGCTGCAGTGCCAAGCTGCAAACCTTCCCCCGCCCCTGCTTCCAGCCTACTGGCTTCTTGCCTGGTGCCTCTGTCTAGGAAGATCTGCAGCAGCTATCCATCCTGGGGAGTACTCCTGTCCACGTGTATATAGCGCATCTGGGTAACGGCAAGCTCTATATATTATCTCCTTTGACCCTCGCAACAACCTGCACTGCAAGTGGGCAAGGCAGGGGGAGACTTTTACCCCCATTTTACAGATGGGGAGCCTAGAACCACAGAAAAGTGAAGTGCCTAAGTTCACACTGCTAGTAGGTGTGGGAGTTGGGCCCCAGGCTCCACAGGTAAGCAGGACTCCAAAGCTGATAATACCCTAGTACTACTTTTAGTTATGGTGAGGCCCATCATGGGAGTGCTTAGGCCTCCCTCTCTGTTCCTCAGAGAGTCCCTTGCTTCCTGTAATGTAGGCTGGAAAATACATGCACTAGCATGGCACAGCCTCTGCAGCCTTATTCAGAAAAGAGTAGCCACAGAATGAGGATGTTCATCAGTCACAGAACAGTGAGCAAACAGAGGTTTCTTATAATATCAGTTATTTAGGGACCCGCTGCCCAGAAGGGGAGCACAGTGTGCCTTCTGTGTCCTCAGGCACAAAGTCCTCTCTGGGTACCTTCACTTAGGGGCTTCTTCCTGTGCTTTTTTCAAGTTGTATTCTCAGGGGGCTGCTTTTTTCTAGATACTCATTTATTTATTAGCACTTAATGAGTTGCCTACTTCCGTGTTCTTTTTATGTTCAGGGCACATTTCCAAATACTAGAGGTTTGGTGACACACTTGAAGAGACTTTATTGAATCCACAGTGACAGTGTTCTTTTCCTGACCACAGTTCATCATCTCTAGGTTAGTGTTACACAGAACTTACTACCTTCCCTTTTATACTCACAAGGAAAAATTCTTACAGATTGAAATAATAATAGTAGCTAATGTTTGCATACTTTATCATACACCAGATACTGTTCTAAATATTTACATGAATTAAATTATTTTGTTCTTCAGGAAACTTAGAGATGTACTACTATCCCCATTTTATAGGAGATACAACTGAAGCATAAAGAACTTAAGATCTTTCAGAGGTCATATCACACAGCTGTGCCATGTCAGTGGCAGAAGGTAGGCTTTTTGGCTTCAGAGGTTACTCTCTTGACCATATTACATGGCCTGTCACATGGGAGCAAACATTTGGTCTTTAGCTCCTGCTTGATGGCAGGTCCTGTTCACAGCAGTAGGTTTCACCTTTTTCTCTGCACTGTATCATATACGCTGAGCTCTGGGTTGTACTGAAAGATAGCACCCCATAAGCTCAGTCAGAACAGACAGAAGTTTTGTATATGGACATATTTGGCCATGCACCTGGATGATTCAAGGTGCACTACTGTGGTTTGGCACATTGGTTAAAAGCTACTCATTTGCCCTAGCCAGTCACACTCTTGGGTGAACAGTGGCATTCAGGTGTGAATCTGATGCCCATCTTATTCTTAAGAAACTCCGTGGAAGGAGCAAGAAGACTGCTTTATAGACAGCCATGATAAAAGACTGAACACTAGAAATACCAAAAGAAAAGGTCATGCCTTCTCTTCCTGGCTGGTTTCTTTACATCCTCTGATGTATGGAGAGAAGATCCAGGAGTACCAATTTCTATAGGAATATACCTTCCTGTCAGACCCCCCACCCTCAGGAATGTTGTTCAATCCCTGTTAAACCTAGGTCGTTCTTTAAGGATATGGCATGCCCTAGAGCAGATTACCTGAAGTATTTGGTGGCATTTTTTTAAAGGTTTTATTTATTTTTAGAGGGAAAGAGAGAAACATCAATGTGTGGTTGCCTCTCCCACACCCCCTACTGGGGACCTGGCCTGCAGCCAGGCATGTTCCCTGACTGGGAATTGAACTGGCAATCCTTTGCTTCACAGGCTGGCACTCAATCTACTGAGCCACACCAGCCAGGGCTGGTGACAAATTCTTGAACTCATACTTGGCCTATTTACCTACTCTTCTCTCTTTCTGGAGGGAAGTGAAAAGGAAAAAGATGAGGTAAGTTTTTATAAAAACACCAGAGTTAAAAAGAAATCAGGCTAAAGGACTTGAAATTCCTTGAAACTTAATTCTCTCTCTTCCTTCTGTTTTTTTTTTTTTTTTGCTTTGGTTTTCATAGAATTTGATGAGGTAGGTGAATGGCTTAGAGCTGTGTTACTCATAGTGTAGCTCATCAAATGATACAAGTTCCCAAACTTGCTGGTTTGTGATAAGTATGTAAATTGAAAGTAAGTGCTTAGAAACTTTTATAGTAATTTGACATGTTTATCGTATTTTACAATTGTGTCTGTCCATAATGGATTGAAGGTTTAAAAAGCAAAACAAACAAAAAAACAGTCCTTTACCCTAAATGGTAAATAGTGTTGAGGAGTATTGGTTTGTTTAGTGTGACAGAGTGAAAAGGCTTCAGTCTTGTCTGTAAAATAAGATTAATAATACCTGGAATTACATGATGATGAATAATATTTTGGGATACTTACTATGAGCTTGCCTCTGTGCATTCATTGTACGTATATTATCTTACTTAATCCTTACCACAGTTCTGAAATAAGTTTTGTTATCATCCCCATTTTTTTTGGACTTGGATAGGTTAAGGGACTTGCCAGAAGTTAAACCTATAATTGTGTATGTGGGATTTGAATGAGAGCTGGCTCTGTTAACTATTGTGCCATGTTCTGTGTAAAGAGCCTGACACACAGGAAAGTTGCCTGTCATTTCACTTTCTCTCCTAGAGGTCTGGAGACCTGCTTTCTCATTCCCTTACTGACCCTAACTTGTTTTGAGACCTTGGGCAAGTCTTTATACCATAATTATCTCATCTATCCTCAGTGTCAGTGACTATGTTTTATTCATCTTAGGTTCCCCAGCATTTAGCTGGACAGGGCTTGACATAATCGGTATTGAGTACTGGTGTAATTGAATACGATCTCTAAGGGTTCTTTCAGTCTCTACTTTCTCTGAACATCCAAGGTACTTTATCCTCTCCCCTCCCTCTTGAGCATCGTATTTTCAGCTACTCCACTTGGCAGCATGGTCTTACTTCCTCATGTCTGTTTGTCTTAGGCAGTTTTGAACCTGGGTACCTTTGAGACAGCCTACGTGGTGCCCATGGTTTTACTCGTTTGTGAAATGTGTCTACACTAAACCCACCAGAGGTAATACAAGTAAGGGGTGGGGGGAGCTGGCTTACAAAGTCAGAAACATGCTCTTACTCCATTCTTACCCAGTGGGGCCTGAGCCTAGGGCAGCTCTGCTGGCAGCCCTGCCAGGCCTGAGTAATGGCTGCAGCCTGGAGCAGGGTTTTCCGTGAGCTCCATCAGGGTCTCCAGTAATTGGAACATGGCACCTTCCGACTCGTAATGGATGGTAGAACGAGAGGGGCATTTGTCACTGCCTGACTTCCCTGCGGGAAAGAGGCTCATAAGTCACAGCTGACAAACCCTTTGATGACTTTTAAACTTCATTTACAGAAAAGAATAGCTATAATCAACCAACAGCAAGCAGTGACTAATCTTGCCACATTATCACAGTGAGGAGCCAGCCCTTAAGGCATGGGAAGGGGGGCCATCCCCCAGGCTCACAGCCAATACTTATCGGCCCTTGGAGTTGAGAGTATGCTCTTAGCAAGGTCCCATGAGTTTTTATAACTAAAGGATCAGAAAGTATTAGAAGCTGACCTCCTCCTAGAAGGTACAGGGGATGCTTAGCACGAAGCCACTTGGGGGCAAGGTTAAGGGCACCAGCTGTGGTCTCATCCAGACTGGTCACAGCTCCAGCATTACCTGGCTTGTGTAGGACTAAACTCCAACCCTTAGTTTCCTCATATGTGAAAGGGGCATAATACATACCATCACCTACCTCAAAGCAGGAGACAGTGCAGTTCCTGGCACGTAAATAAATGTTGATAATCATAATCACGATCATATATTAAACCCTGGAAGAACCCTTTGTGGTCACATGTTCCAGAACCCAAGATCATGTTGCAAATCAGTAGCAAAGCTAGGACCAGTCTTCTGTTGGAGGGGGAGGGGTTAGTGGGAGGAATTTTGTGAAGTGAGATCACAGGCTTTGGAACTAGACAAGTTTGGGGTTCCTTTACCTTAACACGCCACTTCATATGACCAGGCAAATTATTAGGGCTCTCTCTGAGCCTCAGTTTCTTCATCTGTAAAATAAAGATGATATTACTTATTTCTCATTAGGTTGTGATCAGGATCCTGTGTGGGTATGCCCATAAAGTTTCCAACACAGTGCCTGGCATACAGTTGCCATATATTAAAGTATGTGTTCCCTTTTGTTCTCCCTCAAGACAAGAATTAGTATGCCGCTATCAAGTGAAGAAGAGAAAGCACTGAAGAAATGCTCATATTTCAATAAACCAAGAGGAAGGGCAGAATAGAAGTAGCAAAGAGAAGAAAGGGGCGTGCTTTTGTACATTGTTCCTGCGGTTCCTCTTGCCCACAGTTGCCTTTCCCTATGTCACTATTCAGTGGGAATTCATCTTAAACATTCTCTCTTTTTGTAAAGCCTTCTGTGATGCTTCTGTCGGTGCTCTGATATCTTAGGCTGTTTTGCACTGGGCTGCTTCTGGGCAGTGGATTCCTTGCTCAGGTCACATTGCCTTTGTGGCTGGGGTGAGTGTCCCTGGCTGGACTGGGTGTTCCTTGAGATCAGGTACCAGACCAACAGCTGGGTGAATGAATGAACAGTTTACTTGTTCATTAACACCTGGCCTTGGCCCAGTAAGTGTTTGGAGGTCTGTAATTACGATTGAATGGATAGGTGGGTGTTTAGGTGACTTCTTTGGCCAAAAAGAAAAAAAGAGGTTGACGATCATTGTGGGTCTCTAACTCAGTATTAGGGATTGTAGGCCCAAAACTGCACCTATCCATTCCTTGTTACCTTTTCCCCCATAGCTATAAGGGCCGCTTGTCATAGATGCTAAGCCTCAGCTTAAGGCCATAGTCAGGGGTAGAGTTAGGGTGCAAGGTACAGGGAAGGCAGGGTATGTACATGCAGACCACACTGTGGGGAGAGATGACTAAGGCCCCAGCTCTACCTTCTGTTTCTGCCTTGAGGTCTCCCCTTGGGCATACCAGGTATTGATACCAGTGTTATGTAGTATAGGACAAGAGAACTCATGATATCGCTGAAGATTGAGTCTGTGGCTCAGCAAGGCCTGGGACTCCTCCCACATAGTGTTCTTTCCTCTCCCATCCCATACATGTCTGATTTGACAGGCATTGGGAGGGGAGCACCTTTATGAAGTTTCTGGATTTGGCTTCAAATACTAGGACAAGGAAGAGATCATGCATTGACCCCCTTATCCTGGCTCCCTTATTTTCAGGTGAAATGTGGAGTATTGTGAGACAACATGGGTAAAGGAAATTGGGGCTTTGTTTTCCAAGGGTATGTATAGGGCATTTGAGTTCCTTAGATAAATATGTGCCGATCCCAGCCACTATATTGGGCACTTTACACACTTTATCTCTAATCCTTGCCCTAATCCTGGGAGGTTGGTATAATTTCCATTTTGTAATTCAGGCATTTGAGGCACCCAGTTAGGTTAAAGGACATGTCCAAGGTTATCTCATAAACAGTAGGGCTGGGATTGGAACTCAGTCATGTCTTACTCCAGAACCTGTGCTGTTTCTGACAAATGCACCTGAGACAGGTGCATTTTTTCTTTGTTATTAAGAAACAGTCATGCCCTGGCTGGTATGGCTCAGTGGATTGAGTGCCAGCCTGTGAACCAAACTGAGTTGCCAGTTTGATTCCCAGTCAGGGCACATGCCTGGGTTGCAGGCCAGGTCCCCAGTAGGGGGACCACAAGAGGCAACCACACATTGGTGTTTCTTTCCCTCCCTTCACCCTCTCTAAAAATAAAGAAAATAAAATCCTAAAAAAAACCCCACAAAAAACAGTGAAGAGGAGATGGCTTTCTTGAAAAGCAGATGGAGGACAAGGCCCATGAGCATTGTTTACACAGCGTCTTCACAGTGCCAGCACAGGTGAGAATATGTAAGAATGTTTGTTGAATGAATGAAGAGGAAAGGAGTTGGGTTATAAAAGAAATAG